GCAAATGCCACAGCACAGGTGCCGAGACTCTAATTCTATAGGCTTAGGGCCAGGCTCAAGGTGTCCAGCTGTACTGGTCTCTGTAGGACTCTTCGTGGCTTATATAGATGTTCTTGAAGGCCTTGAATCTTTTCCTTCTGTAGTCTAAATCTGACAGATGCTGGTTACACTGAATTAGCCCTTCTCTAACATCCCTATTGTAATTCAGTTACCTATTAAAGACTCAATCTCTTAAATCCCGTTCTAATGGGTTATAGTACTTGACCTTGGGTCTGTCAATGGCTAGACTGTCTTTTTCTTCTCAAATCATTTACACTTATTTTTCTTTCCTAAGCCTGTAAAAGGCCATATTTTTTTAAACTGTTTACCCAAACCACTGAAATAACTTTGACTAAAATATTATGTTTAAAAATATCTATGTATATAAATGAGCGCGTGCATGCTGTTACACATGTACAGGTCAGAGGACAACTTCTTCTACTCCATGAGTTCCAGAGATGTTAGGTCATCAGGCTTTGGCAGCAGTGCCCTCACCTATGGAGCCGTCTCACTGAGCAATATAGAACATTCCTTTTAAGGAGGAATGTTTTCCCAAATTTTCTAGTGCATTACACACACAAGTCTCTCCTTTAAGGAGCTAAAAGTACCTTTCCATTCTTTGGAGATCGCAAGTAGCCTTGACCTGTCTTTTCTAACGAAGAGTAGAGATGGAAGTAAAATAACTCAGAAGTTACATGAATGTCAAGGAGAATTCAGTAGTTGGGCATTTTTTGTAGCATAGGATCTGATGTATTTTGTCACAGTCACTGTCATCAGCTTGGGTTTTCACCTGTAGTTGTATAGAATTGTAGTTTATATAGGAAAGTATTTATGTAAAGGCTTGTCAGAGGCCTGCAGACAAAATTAAGTTTAGTGACTAAAACACATCCCCTTTACTTCTGGAAGACTTCATTGGGATCGATTCCACTTTTACTGGCTTTTCATGGGAGCCAGGACGTAACATTAGCCATTGGTAAAATTGGCAGGTGAAACATAGATGCAAGACATAAAGATCAATGGGGAAGGGAAAGGAACAGTTAGTTTATGGGCAGGAGGGACATGCCATGCTTAGGAAGCTACCACAGTTTAGCTCAGGCCTCGGTGGGGAAAAATGCTTCTCTTTGACTGGGTTGTGGTTGTATCCAAGTCCCTTTTTAAATAACCTGTTTGTGTGTTTGCACAATAAGGAGATCCCAGATCCCACAAAGTTTTTCGTCACACGGTGGAGCACAGAACCGTGGATCCAGATGGCTTATAGTTTTGTGAAGACATTTGGAAGCGGCGAGGCCTATGACATCATTGCTGAAGAAATACAAGGAACTGTCTTTTTTGCTGGCGAGGTATATATTTTTGACACCAAACTCAATTCTTTTTTTTTTTTTTTTTTCAGTTAAAATGTTATCAACACAGTCTTAAAACCTAAATCAGGTATGTTTGAAGGTCTTGTGACTCAGTGGCAGAAGCACTCTTCATTCCACTTTCACTGTCTAATGTCTGTGAACAGATCTTTCTGGTAGACCTATCTCTGTCTTTGAAGTATTTCTATTGACACTGTGTGATTTGGTGTGACTTGGCTGGCCCTGTCAAGTGTAGTCCACTTAGTCTCGGCACCAATCTTTTAAATTTTACCTGGTTGCTATCTGCTCTTTTAAGACCAGGCCTCACTCTGTAGTCCAGGCTGAATTGCAGCAATCCTCCTGCCCTAGACTCTAGAGATTATGGGTGTGACTCAACACACTTAATTTGTATGTTTTCAACTGTCATGTGAACTGTAATGTTTATTGCTGAGGTTTCATTATTAAAAAGCTTTCTGATAGGTGGTCACGGGGTAATTATTTTGGTGCCTATCTCCTCTACCCCTCATTCAGACTTTCCTCTCCTAGCTGGTTTACTATCTGAAACCTTTGGAGTCTTTGCACTGCTGTTCACTGACATGAGGTTATAGTAGGGTCTTCTGCTAGATGGACTTTTCCATTTTTCTTGTCTATTTGGTATGCTATTTTGGTAAGCTTGCCATTCTGAAATGAGTTTTCATTTTCCCCTCTCCATCCATTCAGACTTCACACTTGTCTCATTGGTTACTTGGGCTTTTGAAAAATGTTTTCTTGTTGGTTGTGAGGCACTTTTAAAAAGCTTTCTAACAGCTCCAGCAGTGTTTGGGAGGTTTCCTTTTTGTAGTAGCTTTGCTTCTGAAGCATTCTGGATATCAGAAAGATCATTGGTAATTATGAAGGATATGTATTTAACATGTTTTTGTTAGGGAGAGGGGCATGCCAAAGCTCAATCTTGTTTCCTATTTTCTTTTTGTTTTTCCTTAGACAGGATTTCTGAAGATTAAGTATAGGTCTTTGTGCTTGAAGTAATTTGTCAACCAGATAACACCACTTGCTCCCTGAACCTCTTTGGAAACCAGCTGTCTCTTAGGTTTCTGCAAGCCCTAACGGCTGAAATTTCCCAACGATTCTTTATAAAATTATTTTGCCTTTTGTTAGTTCCTGTTCTCCATCCCAACATAAAGGCAGCTGTATAACCTGTAGTCATATATGTATATTGTAATTTGTAATTACAAATCTGGCTTTATCAGGAAGTTAGGTTTTGTTGTGATTTTTGACAAAAGTACATTTTAAAGAACCAGCTGTGAGCAAGTGAGGCATAATGGCCGTATGCTAGGCAGCATTTGCCTTCTGCTTCTAGAGATGGCAGCTTTACACTAAGACAGGATTTAGATGCCTTTCTTGCTTTCCCTGGGTATTCTCATGCTGTTCTCACATCCATTTCTGAGGCTAGTGTGATTCATACTTTCTCCCCACAACTTCACTTTTCACCATCCTAGGGAGTATTTCCATGTATGCTGCAGCACTTGGCAGGGACATCAGATGCATATTGTAAAAGAATCTGACAAGTACAGCAAAAGCGAAGAGGGTTTTTCACAAATACACAAGTCTTTTTTTAGGTGGACCAGAAAAGTATAAGGTGATACTTTTGACGTCATCTCAATTATTTATGCACAGTCTGAAACAGCTTTTTTCCCCTCCCTACAGGCAACAAATAGGCATTTCCCACAAACTGTTACTGGGGCATATTTGAGTGGTGTTCGAGAAGCAAGCAAGATTGCAGCTGTTTAAAAAGAACTTGTATGGACCTTTCCCAAATGGAAAAGTTTGAAACACAGGTTAAGTTTTGTAAGAGAGGGGACTGTATAGTAAAATTGAAGTGTTTCTGTGGTGATAGGAAAATGTAAACCCATTTCACTCTTCTGAAACCACTGACCCTCAAAATCCTTCTAGGCACTTATATTTATTCATATGTCCAATTAGTGCTAAGTCAAATGGGTTTCAGAAGATGGCACAGTATACCATAGAGACCTTAGTTCTGGTTGGGGGTTAGATTTGGACATTCTGTTTGGCAGATTACTTTTCATATACTGTGAAACCAAGTAATCTAGCAGGAGCCACTAGCAAACTTAGAGAAGCCATGTGTTTTTCTGTGACAATTTATCAGTACCTTTACCAATGAGCCTTAATATTTTTATACAGCTCCAATCACGGGCTTTCCTTAAAATTTACAATTCTTTTTTGATACAGCAATTTCAAGGTGTGACATGACATTTGTGAGCTATTTTATACTTTTCATTGAGTATTTGAAACTTCAATTCAGGTACATTTGATAGTTTAGATCTGTGCACACTCATCAGCAACTCTAGACTTGCAATCCCTGAAATGCGTGTGCATGCATACACTCAGCAGGTGCAGGGTGTTTTCACATTACAAAACCAAGGTGGTAATAGTGGGGGCTAGCACTTGACATTTAGCAAGAATCTTTACAGAACAGCTAAAAGCCCCTCTTATTTTTAAAGTGACTTTTACAGTAAATTTCCCAAAGGTAGGTCCACTGGAAAACTGCAGAAAATCTTAACTATCTTGGTACATGGCACACTACTTTATAAGCCATATGTTAAAGTCTGAACATGGCAACTTTTCCACTTAAAGATTGTTTAATAAACATGGGTTTTCAGGATCTTTAGGATACCTATTCTGCCAAGAAACTTCAGTTGATTAATAGATTACAAGTATGCTTTTGTTTTAAAAAGTCTTTGAACAATTCTTCTTTGAATTATATTGGTCTGCTTTTAAAGGGGGCTACAAAGGACTTTAAAGCCACTTTTTGAAATATCAGGTATTTCTGAAATTCACAATTAGGTTAACAAAAGACCTTATGCAAAGAATGTACAGGGAAGTGTGCTTTAGACAGTCTAGACATATCCCCTCCCCTGTCAAAAGTATGATACAAAGCTAATGACTACATATTTAAAGTTTATTATTCGCTGTACTGTAAAGGTTATTTGTTGAGACTCATTGGTACTGATAAGGGAAGTATTCTGCTTTCAAGTGTAATTAAAATGTTTAGTGTGTGAAGTGATAAATGTAAAGCGTTAAATTTGAAGTGGTTCAGTCTAAGTTATTTAGTTTCTAGGCACTGGAGTTTGTATTATGCTATTTCAATTATAAATGTGTGTATTTAATTTTCTCCCATTTCAAGTGACGTACTTATTAATCTCATATATTGTCCTATAGGAGCTATGGTACTTTTGAGTTGCTGTGTTTAATCTGAAGATTTTTTGTTAATGAACAGAAGTATACTTATAGTGATTTAACTATATATTATGAATAACTGGTTATGTAAAAGTGCTTTAATGAGTAGTTTTTTTTTTTGCAAATACTCATAATAAATGTTCATAGCATTCATTCACTCTGTCAACCTCATTTCCAATCCTTTAAAATTTTTGGTCTAAGCATTTGCTGCAAAAGCACTTACTAGTAAATGGTCAAAATATTAAACTAGTTCTGTGCAATGATCAGTTATTACTAAAGAACTCCCAAGTCATATAATACACTAGGTCACTAAATCCTCTCGCCACAGAGATGACATTTAAGCACACACAAAGATTAAATACAAGACACTTAAAACATTGATTTATTCTTTATTGCCAAGATTTATAACAAAGTACTTAAAAGGCCAATTTTTAGTCCCCATTTACTTGCTTGTTCCTTCTCACTCAAAGCATACTGAAGTCAAATATGTGAAAATACCTATTAATGCTCAAATCTGATCTATGATGTAAAAGATTAAACACTCAGTTGGTACATCAAATGTCAAGCAGCATATGAGAAATAGGTTATTAGGACAGTCAAAAAAAGACAATTTAAATTTAGGGGCAGTCTGTGTTTGCCATCTAAAATCTTGATTGACCAAAATTTAAAATCAAACAGCCTTGATTCTGTAATACTTGCTTTAAGATATTAATGTATGGTTTTTGAGAAATACTTTCAGCAATACCTACATTGCCCTCATACCAATTCTGGCATTACATCTGATACTTTTAATCATAATTATGAAGGTAGCCACGTTTCTTGTATCTATTACTTATATGGTCAAAAAAGTGTAGTTACTATCAATCACTTATCTATAAGCCAAATGTGCTCACACTCTCCACTTTTTGAAGCTCTGATGTGTTTTTTGTTTATCCTCAATATAAAATTTCTATGACACAAAGTTAACCACAAATTGGTGACACTTTCCGGGCAAAGCAGAACTAGACAGTCCTTCAGTGTTAACACCACTGAACTCTGACTGCTACGTCATTGCTGCCTAGCTGAACACTGACATTTATAAGTGTAAAGACACCTACCTACAAGAGTTTAAAAATTGATCTGCACAAAAGAAATTAAAAAAATTATATACAACAAATTGGTTTTTAAAAATACAAAAATAACATCTGTCACTTCTGTCATGCCGACAACTTGACATATATACACATGCAGAAAAAGTTCCAACTCGGTCATCTGAACAGCTGGGCTATATAATATGATGAACAAACTTTGACTAAGTTTTCACACTGACAGATGTATTCAAAATATTTCATATACTAAATACTGCAATAGTCTCTGCACGTATAAATGCTGGTTATAATAGTTTTTGCTTTCATTAAAAAGTACATTTTAAGCAAGCTAACATTAAGTGCACTAAAATTCACACAGTTCCGGTATCTATGACCTTACAATAAAGAAATCCAAAATGTACAACTATAAAAAGCAAGGAACAATTGTGGCCATGCAAGATTTAAACTGAAAACTGCAAGGAAATGCAATTTACAACAGCAAGCTCAAATATGTAACACTTAGGAGGGTCAGCAGCAAGTTCTACCAATGACAAGACTTAAAAAAGAATACATTCTCTTTGCTGGTATAAATCAGATCTTCAAATCTGAGAACAAGCCATCTGTCCTCTATCTCAAGAAATTAGCTGCAATGAAAAAGAAAGCTGCTTTTACCACATCCAACACACAAAATCAAGTACGTATACAACATAAACTTTTACTCTCATTTTATTGTTACCATGGGAAATCAGGCTCATTATTAAACATTGGTTACTGTTGACCCTTGTACCTTAGAGTGACTTGCCTTGACACTAGTGACTACCTCACAGATACAAAGCTACCATGTACACTATGAACCTGTCTTAATCTAGGCTAAGCGATATCAAAACTGTTCAAACTTACTAAATATATTTCCTTATCTGTGTTTATTAACAACTATAGTGTTAATGTGATTTTTCATGCAATATTTGATAAACCTTTGGTTTCTATGCCAAGTGACCAAACAGAAAAAGGAAAAAATATTTACCTCTTTTACAGTTGTTTTAATGAAATCTTTCCTCTCAGTCAAATCATAAGCAGGGTAATTTTCATATACCTAAAAACATTAAAAGCAGATTTAAAAGTCCATAATACTGTCTCTGAATTAAAAGTAAACTTAGACTTGTACCTGTAAATGAAATTTAATAATAACACTGTATTAAAAGCAATGAAGTCAATTGACATTCTCGGTGCTTTACAGCAGCAAAATTAGTAATGAAGCTGCAACAAAAATAATTTTATGGTGGGGGGGGTCACCACAACATGAGGTGATGTATGAAAGGGTCACAGCACTGCTATGGAGAAAAGAGTCTATTATTCTGGAAATCAATAATTCTAGATCCCTTTTCAAACTCTTTCAAGCCCTGCCCCCCCCCCCCCAATTCCAGGTAGGAATGTTTGTTCCAAGGTGCTGTGCTCCTCCCAAAGTGTTGTAACAGCTTTCAGACAGCCTGCTGCTGAAATCTTTATCTCTTTCTGTACCTCACTGATTGGCAGGCATATTTAAAGACAATGACTTCTCTGCTGCGTGGTATGTAGCAAAGGCTCAAGGAATGTCTAATGAATTAGAAAATAAATTCAATAAAAGCACACTGTTTTAGCTTTGAATTTCAAATTAACTTCGTTTAGTCATTAAGAAACTTGTACATCTCCAATATTCAACACTAAAACATTTTTATTTCTGGAGATGTAAAAGAATTCCAAAGAAGTTTAAGATATTATCCTAATTTTTAATGGTCATCTAGCACACTAACAAAGGGAGTAAGGTGACTCCCAAGATTCTGCTTAAGCCAAAGCAAGCCAAGAATACATCACTGTGTTTCCACACCAGAAAAATGTGTTGTGAAGCATAACATTTTAATTTTATTCACTCACTATTTATAAAACTGTAGGAAGAGATGTTTTGACTTTTTAAGGGTTGCTACAGTTCCAGTACAAGAGGGCCTGAAATCAATACTCTGAGTGAATACACAAAAAGATGTGTTAACAGTTTCAAATTAAAGAACAGGTAAACAACAACAAAACCAAAAAAACAAAAATCCTACAGGTAGGGGAAATAACCAGAACTGGTGCCCTCAACTACCTCTTTGCAAATCTGCTTCATTGTGACTTCTTCCAAGTTAGCATCAGCCAGTAATTTCTTCACTGTTTCCTTTAACTCTTCATCTGTAGGTGGTTTTTTCAGTTTTTTAATTAATGGTTCATCATCAGAACTATCTTCAGATTCAGACTCTAAAAGGTAAGATACTAAGTGTGAATAATTTTTTTTTGCATTAACAAAGTTTTCAGGGGAACATAAGCCCCAACTATAAACCAACCATTGCTTAGCTTTACTTTTAAAACAAAATTTTTATCTTAAATTTGCATATAAAGCACACATTGAAATTATTTTTAGCTCTGCAAACTAGCATGTTACTATCTGCCAAAGTTCTTTGCAGTTTTATTGTCTTTTATACACATTAAAATACATACATGCATATGCTGTGCCACAACAGTTGCTGTCATTTCTAAAAACGTACCTTTTTTGGAACTGTTTTGGTTCTTCTTGGTGGTGCTACTATCTGCCTTCTTAACATTAGCACTTTTCACAGATTTTTTACTTTTAGCAGTAGCTTTCTGTTTTGCTTTTTCTTTTTTAGATGTCTTTTTTGGTGGTTGCTAGAAAGTAAAGCAAAGCATATTTGGATGAGTCACTATTATTTCACCATCTCCTTTCTCACAGAAAACACTAAGTCAGCTTAAACATTACTAATTATCAACTGCTGAGAGGAATTGTACCCTAATGTTTACTTCAATGTAAGTCTAAGTATCAGTCACCATATTATCCCATTTGATTGAGGGTGATAGATAGGCTCAAAATATAAATACTCGTCTCCTACTCTCTTCCCAAAGAATTTAAGCTACAGGAAGACAAGCTTTTATCCCTAATGTTCACTAATAACTTCTAAAATAGGTAGACAGTTATTCAGTAAAAATGTGTGAATACGAGGAAGCAGATTCAGTAAAGTCATCTTATTCACAATCACATTAATACAAGCACAGACTCAAATACAGATCTGACTCCAGAACACATGCTTTTAAACACCAGTCCACAGATGATTCAACAAAAGGCAAATGCTGGATGTCTGCACAAATTACAGTGTCCAAATTATACCTTTTAAGTCTGAAACTAGGAAGTATAATTCTTCATTTAATTAACATTGCCAAAGCAAAGTATTCCACATATCAAAAAAAAACCCTAAGGCTGGACACTTGGGAGGAAGAGGCAGATCTGAGTCAGGCCATCCTGGTCTACAGAACAAGTTCTGGGACAGCCAGGGCTACAGAGAAAATCCCCAAAAGGAAACAAACAGAAGATAAATTCTCATCTTTATACATCAAAACTACCACAAACAGCTAGACAGAAGAATGTTTTACATTCTCCATTCTAGAGTTAAATGATCAAATCAGCTTTTTGTCGTTTGTGAGATACTGCTGCTATTTCTACACAAACTAGCCTTGAACAATCTTTTGCCATGTCACTAAAGCCCTCAATTACAGTATGTTACACCTCGCCTGACTTAAACCTTTTTAAAGGGCATAAATATCATGTTTAATCTGTCGTTTGGATCAATTTTCAAAAGCTAGGTAGATTCAGACCATATATCTAAGTGAAATTAGTTCATTTTTAGGGTTTTATCTTTGTTATATTAACATTGGACATAGCTATATAAACCTAGACTCCCCTGTATTAAGAGTAATATTCTGTTGGCTGGGCACTATCCAGACCTATCCATTTTGGCTTTACTAACAGTACTTAGGTAGTATTTAAGAGGCTAAGTATGGGAGTTTTACCAAGCCCAGCACCATGACTGGTATTAGTTTTCCATGACCAACAGAAACCAGTTTTTTAAGTTATGTGCCCACCTAGTTAACACAAGCTGCGGTAGGCTCTTAAAAAAGGTTCAGCTATTATAGCAATACACTTCATAGAATCAAAAAATCCACCATCACTCTTCAGTCCAAGGCTAAAAAATCTGGACTTGTGAGTGTAAAAAACTAAGCTGCTGGGTGTGGTGGTGCACGCCTTTAATCCCAGCACTCAGAAGGCTGAGGCAGGTAGATCTCTTGAATTTGGGGTAGCCTGGTCTAAAAGAGTTCCAGGCCAGGGCTACACAGAGAAAAACCCTGTCTCGAAAAACATAATCTAAGCTACACTACCCAAAGTGCTGTGAAAAATGAGCAACAGAAATAACACACTTCACTGCTACTCAATCCTACTGTATTAGAATTAAAACTTCCAGGGTCACTTAAGGTTTACTACTAATCTTTTAGAAGGCATACATAATATTATTAATTTAATTTTAAGCCTACTAATGGGTTCAAGTTAGTGCTTTAATAAAGTTTAAACCTCTGTGGTGATAAGAGGGTAGGAAAGGAAATGAAACCAGTTAGAAAATTTTGCTTCTGTACAAACATACATCTTTATTTAACACCATCTTCTAGAAAGGATAACATTCCACAGCCTTTTAAAAAACAGGCAATTAGCGTATTCTTCATTAACAAAAGCTTTTGGTTTTTTGTTCTTTTGAGACATGGTTTCTCTGTGTAGCATTGGCTGTCCTGTACTCACTCTGTAGACCAGGCTCACAGCGATCTGTCTGTGAGATTTTATGATATAATTGTGCAAACATACCATACAAGCACTATAGAGTAAGGTAAAATACAGTTCAAAATCTGGGTGCCTTCACATTATGGTAGATATGACTTGACTCACAAACATCTTCATTCTTGTAAGGCTATACTGGTTTCAATTATTTTAACTAATCAGCTGTAAATTTTTCTGTGACACACTTAAGATAAAAAGTGCTTTTGACTGGATGACTTGGAAAACACTAAAAACAGTGAACCAACAAGCTTAAGTACTTAAGCTCGTACTAATCTTGGGCAAAGTAAAATGACTTCACCTACCCTGAAGATTACGTTATTAGGGACAGGTGACTGGATGAGCATTTCAAACAATATCTCAGTGTTGGGAAACAATGGACAGAGTTTTAGAAGCTAAGGAAAATATAGGTTATTAGTTATTTGGAGGTAAACATAAAAAAAATAGAATAAAAGGGACAGCTGAGAAGGCAAGTTAACCATGCTCATTTTAATTTTCACGAACTTTCAATCTTTGAAAACTAAGATTTTTAATAACCTATCACCCCTTAAATATCTTACAATGTTCCAATCTGATTACTTCACATTCCCACTATAGGTCACTACTCCAGACGTTATAGAAGATACAGTACAGCAGTGAATTAGAACATGGACTTACAATCAAGCTTTGTTTTAAATCCTGACTTCACTGCTAATTCTGCATTCTCATTCAAATCACTCACTTTCCAATCCTTCTTCTGGTCAGTAAAGTTAAGAACGGCCCCCATTTGCTGAGCGGTGGTGGTGCTCACCACCCCGGCATGTCCCTAGCACTTGGGGATGCAGAGAAAGAGGCAGGCAGATCTGAGTTCAAGGCCAGTCGAGACTTTTACACACAGAAACCCTGTCTCAAAAACAAAACAAAGGGCTGGAGAGATGGCTCAGAGGTTAAGAGCTCTTCTTAAAGGTTCCGAGTTCAAGTCCCAGCAATCACATGGTGGCTCTCAACCTATATACTGGAATCTGATGTCCTCTGGTGTGCAGGCACACATGCAGATAGAGCACTCAATACATAAATAAATAAAATCTTAAAAAAAAAAAAAAAAAAAAACAACAAAAAGAATGGCCCATCATTCCTATCTCTGTGCTATTAAGGTAACAGTTTATTTACATAAAAACAATGCCTAATAGACATTAAAAGGTTTGATTAAGTATATTATCTATATAATTACTGAGGACAAACTGTATTTCCATGCAGCAAAACTATACATACATATACACACTCATACATACGGTTTATACAGTTTTTTCCATGTCTGTTTATACACTATATAGCAAGCTTATGAGAAGCTCTGACAATATAGGGAAGAGACAGACTGCCCTTATTTACTTGCATTGATCCCCCAGAAAGCAAGCTATAGGGTTTATGGTTTAGAGTGGCCACTTATGTTCATCTTTGTATTGTTTGTAGGAACTGGTCCTTGTCCTCTATTAACTAGGAGGTAGTGGAAAGTTCAAGAAGAAATGCATTTTCCTAATACTGGTTCTACACAATCTCATGAGCTCAAAACAAAAACGAAGATCAAACCAAATTCTTTAACTCACTGTAAATGAGGGCATGCAGTAGTAAAATCAGTTAACACCTTAAAGCTAGGAAGAAGCAAGTTTGTCCTATGTGGAGAAATAAGAACCACATAACTATGTGTACTTTTTTTTTGAGACAGGGTTTCTCTATGTAGCCTTGGCTGTCCTGTACTCGCTTTGTAGACCAGGCTAGCTTTGAAGTCTCTGTATTCCTTTAAGCTAGGGTTGAAACTATAAAGCTAAGTTAGAGTAACAAACCAAGCGATATCACAGCCTATTTGCTAAACAGAGATGTTTCTACTGTAGAAAGCATTACTAGTAACAGATGTTCATTCCTGCAGTTTCATCTGACTACCTCTCTTCCTAACATGTGACTGCCCTCTTAATACATAAGGATACATGTGGCTAAAGACTGTCAATGTCTTGATCTCTACTACAGAGCCTAGAGTTAGTGCTTCTAATTATTGCTACATATTATTAAAGTGGGAACTTGAGGCCTAGAAAAGGTTTAAAATTTTCCACTGATCCTAAAGTTCTGTTTTGTTAGACATCTTGCTAAGCCACACAGTTCATTAGTAGAAATTAGCTAAGCCTCTTGATTTGTAACACCATTATCTTCTGGTGTAATTTACATATATAGATTATTTATTTGAGAAAGAGTAAAGGGAAGATTTATTTTATCAAATCATTAAGAGTACTTCTATAATCCTCATCACTCAGGAGCCTGAGGCAGTAGGCCTCACCTTCAAGACAAGTTCAAGGCCAGCAAGAATTTTATAAGACACCTTTAAAAAAAAAGGAGTCACAATAGTGCCTCAACCAGGTAAATAAAGCTGTACCTCTTACCTCTCTTAAGTCAAGCAAGAGTTAAGAGTTAATGAAATTTTAGATGTGAAAGATAGGGTCTTAAAGACACCTTTGTTATTTAACCAAACAGATGCTGAGACTGGGTCATTACAAAATGAAATTAAGTAACAAGTTTCAAAGAGGGTAAAAAATAAACAAAAAGCTAGTTTCCAAACTATAACTTGCTTTCAAAGATATGTGTGTGTTTGTGTGTACCAGGTGTCCTAGAAGACCAGAAGAGAGTGTCGGATTTCCCGGAGCTGGAGTTACAGGTATTGTCACTGGACATATGTATTGGAATCTGAATTTGAGTCCAATGGAAGAACAGCGAATGTTCTTCCAACCCAAAGAATAAAGACTAATAACATTAAAAAAATTAAAAGACTAGTAAGAAAAAACAGTGGAAAGGCTTTTCCATGTAGAACTGAGAAATGGCACAAACACTTTTTGGCCAAAAACCCAAAAATCTTGTGAGATCAAGGCTTACCTATCTGTTATAGGCAGCAGGGCTCTTGAAGGAGGGTCACCAAAAAAAGATGCCTGTCACAGAGCCAGAATCCTGTCCCCACAGCAGAAAGGCTGTACTGGATGAACAGATGAACAAAATAAAAATTAGCTTAAAATACAGGATTCTTCTAATAACTTGGCCAAGAAAACCCAAAATGCCAAGAGAATAAAAATGTGTAATTCCAGTTATAGTCCACAAAAAGTGTAAATGGATTTCAATCAAGGTGATCTTTTAACTTTGATTTCTAACAAAAGATTTAAATTTTCAGTTTTGAAATTCCTCTGTTCGAATTATGAAGTCTGTTTCTAAAAGTATTAAAGAATAGGAATACACATGTGTCTGTATTCCTACTATCAAGCAATTTATTCAGCAAAAAGACAGTTTAATAAAAATTGTAACTGCAGGTTTCTCTGATTTGTAGAATTTCTAACCGAACAACAACCTACTTTTGACGTGTCTTTTTTCCTATAAAGGCAGGAAAAGCAACAAAACTTCCAAAAAAAGAAAAATGAAAAGGGCAAATCCACATCAGATTTGAAGTATAACAGTCATTTAAGCAGTGCTACACACTTTCAATCCCAGCACTGGGGAGGCAGAGGCAGGCAGATCTCTGTGAGTTCCAGGATAGCCTGATCTATAGAGTTCCAGAACAATCAGGGCTATAGAGAAGCTCAAACAGGAAAGAAACAAAAAAAAAAAAAAAAAAAGCGGGGGGGGGGGGGGGGGGGGGTTAGGCACTAGCACCTGGATCTGGAGCTCTTAAGTTTTCGTCCTGCACCTAAACAGCCAGGTAACAACATTCCATTCAATGTCCTGTAGACAGAGGCCTCTGGCTCTGGTTAAAGGTATCCCCTCCAAGGCAAAAATGGCCAAACCCCTGCCTGTTGCCTTATTCTTCCTTGTCTGTAACAAGAATAAAGTAGATATAAAACCAAAACCCTGGTTAACTTTGATTAGGACATAGAGAAATCAAGATAAAACTGAACTTGAAACTTCCTCTTTTCACGGGGAATGTTTATTGCCAGATGAAGATATGAAAAATGTATCCACACTATTACCCTGCTATAGAACACATGTGCACAACAATACCAATTCATCAGGCAAGATATGCCAACTAATGTAATGGTGGCAAGATTTATTTTTCAGTCTATGGTTACCTGAGGCCCACAACATTGGAAGGAATATGCACTTGGTACTCATTAACCTATCAAGAGCCTATGGCTGAGGACAGGGGCCCACAGGAGGAATATATTATTAATGTTCATCTACACATGTAGTCAAACTGCTTTCTAAGCACTTGTGTTTATACCTACATTAGTGCAGCTCTCAGCCTGCTGCACAGGGTAACAGTTAACGTACTGAGTCCTATCTGGTCAAAGTACAGAGAAAAGTGATGAGCACTCACCCTTAAACGGGACATCTGTACCAACTCCCACCCAAGACCCAGGGAACATTACAGAGAGAAACAGAGTAAATTCAAGAGCTGGATAATGGGACGACTGTCACGAAACAATGGCCATCCAGACAAGACACTGCCACTACAAACACACAGCAGCTCTGAAGACCTTCACCTGACTGGCTGAAGGCAACCACAATGCCCACCCACGCCTTCCTTAGGAGTGAATGACTATTACTGGTTGCTAGTGGAGGCGGTGTCATGGGAAACCAGGTGGGAAGAAGGGGTTCAGAGAGGGATACCAGAGGGTACTGGGAGGCATTACTCAACATAAAACACTGTATAGGTTTATAAAAAGGAAAAAAACATCAAAATGTCACAAAATGACTATTTCTTTTCCCAGAATTTACCTTTCAAAGTCACTCAGACCCTTTCATAGAAACTAAATTATCCGTAACGTTTTTGAGGTAGTTCAGGTTTAAAGGGTTTTTACAACAGTATTAGTCTTGCTGGAGGAAAATTTACTACGGGGGTGAGGGGACCTACAGACTTTATTGGAATTGTATCTCATAAAAGTCTCTCAAGACAAACCCATGTGGGAAAAATGCCTGTAACAGCTTTTATATGGGGTGGTTTGATGTACTTAATGTCTATAGTGCATTTTCTTTTGTCTTTCATGGATTGCCACCATTTGACCTGAGTTTCTGATTATGTCCAATTTTAATAGAAAACTATCTCTGATTTGTAAATATAACAGCTTATATCTGCCCACAAAGTATCTTCTTCCTGGACTTTATTTTGGCAACAACAAGACTGGAATCAGAAATGGTATCTGGAATAAAATATCTTAAGGATTCCTTTTTTTTTTGGGGGGGGGCACTTTGAGATATGATTTCTCTGCATAGTTCTGGCTATGTGAACTCATTCTGTAGGAAGGCCTCTGCTACCCTAGGATTAATGAATGCTAGCATTAAAGGCATTTGCCACCATGCCTGGCTAATAGTAATATCAACTAATGAGACTATAATTTGACAGCACTTTACATTCATTTAATATGACCCTATGAGGTTGCTTTCAATTTTAGATTGGGAGAGTGAATACAGATTAAATGATTCAGTCATATATAATAAAAGTGAAAAACCATGGGAGAACAGGGACTTGAACCCAGTTTCTAAACCTCATGCTGTTTCATGAGAAAAAAAAAAAAAAAAAATTCTGTAACTTTTCATTACAATGAAGGGCACATGATAAATGAGCAAAAAATTGAACAAGGAAAACAGTTTAAAATCATGGAGGCTGTTGAGACAGGTCATGCCACATAAGCAAGATTTGAACTTAACCCCTACCACCAACATAAAAATAACAACAAAACAGGCTCGAAGGGCATTGTGACACACACCTGTAATCCTAGCAATCAGGAGGCAGAGGCAGGTGGATCGCTGTAAGTTTGAGTCCAGCCTGGTCTACAGAGCAGGTTCAGGACAGCCAAGGCTACACAAAGAAACCCTGTCTTAAAAAACCAAAACAGGCTCAGTGATTCGATGCCTAATAAGAATCATCATCATCTTCTCAGTGCTAGAAAAGGGAGGAGAATCCCTAGCGTATGCATGCTATTGTAAAAATTCAAATGTTCATTTCCGTGTCCCCTGTAGCTGGTTGCAATCCTTGTTCTGAGAATCTCCTGCCTTAGTGTTGTGTAAACATTGCTTTCCAACTGTTCCCTGATAAGTCAATAAAGAGGCTCCCATGGGCTAGAGAGACTGCTTCAGTGGTTAAGATCACTGGCTGCTCTTCCATAGGATACAAGTTCAATTCCTAGAGGCTCAGTCATATGTAACTGCAGTTTCAGGGGCTCCTGGCCACTTCTGGTCTCTGAACCCAGGAATGTATATGTTGCACAGACATACTTACAGACAAAAGACCCATACATAAAAATACTAAAAAATAAAGAATATGTTACTCCATGTTTCTGTTTAGAGTGTAGACCTCGGCTGCTTCCTTTCCCATTTCCCCACTCTATACAATGAGAGGCAGCTCAGAACCATTTCAAATTCAGGTCACAAACTCAACTGTTCTGAAACTTTAATGTTTGATGGGGGTCAGGAGGAATATAAGCCTACTCAATTATTTATAAATCTTCACAATTAAAAAGAACCAACATCAAACCATTTGCTTGTTTATATAGCCAGAATATTTCTCTGATAGTAAAAAATAGTTTATAATAACATTTTACCTCCTCTTCACTTTCTTTGTCTTCATCTTCTGAAGACTCATCCTTCTTTTTCTTCTCATCGTCATCACTACTAGATTCATCTGACAGGATTTCAGGACATTTAGTTTGCTTTGACTTCCTTGTCATTCCAGAACTGTTTCGTTCCTTTTTACTACCTTTGCTTGATGACTTTTTCGATTTTGGCAATGGCTGCATATAAAAATTTATTAACAGTAACATCAATAAGGGTCTTTCTGTGTCAGTTAACTCCTTTTGATAATTACTTCCCAACTCAAAATCTATCAACGTATTTACAGATTTAGCGGAGAAATCGTCTTTAAATGTGTCAGGCTGCATTAGCAGTATTCTCATTTGTACTGTAAACACCTGGCAAGACCATGTGCAAAGGGTGCTCTTGGTTCTGAAACAGGACTGAAGTCCAAATTGTAATGAGTTCAGGTAGTGTTTACATGATATCAAGACAATATGTGAAATTAAGAGTTAATTTACTTCACTTTTTAACGAACTGAAGAAGCCATCACTAGGAGCTTCTTGTTTTATAGGTTCCATGAACCAAGGGAGTGGGTGGAACTATGCAGAGAAAATAAAGCTTGATCGACAATTATACACCCTAAATTTATACACAAACTGTACCACCTCTTTCAGTAATGCCAAGTTCACGACACCCTTCAGAATCCAATAAACTTTGAGTATGTTAATTATGAAAATGAAACTAAAATCAAGCACGAAATAAGTAACTTGCTGTACTTTTAGTTAAACCATATGCACGTATAATCACATGAGGAAAGTAACTTGATCAGCCAATGAATTTGTTGGTTTTATTCACCCCTGAGACATTGTTTCTCTGTGTAGCCCTGGCTGTCCTGGACTTGCTTTGTAGAGCAGGCTGGCCTCAAACTCAGAGATGCGTCTGGCTCTCTGCCTCCTCGAGTGCTGGGGCCACAGGTGTACACTACCATGCCTAGCTTCAATTAATTTATTTTTAAATGCTTTCTTAGGAGTATTTGCCTACTTTTAAAAAACTAGTCAACAACCCTATTTTAAATATTTCCTCAACTTATTTCTCTTATTCCAATCAATACCTTCCAGACAGAAAACCCCTGGGGCCCTGGTTATATCTTATGTGACATTTAGGTACCTTTCTTAGTCTTATACTCCTGACATTTATTTTGAAGGAACAAATATGCTATTTGATTTATATTATGAAAATGGTGCAGCTTTGTCAATGGAAGCCATATATTTTGAATGCAGATGCTATTGCTGACAACACAATTCTGCTGTTAGACATGTCTCAGTAGGAGAAAGGAAAAGCTGTTAATAATCAGTTTACTGAAATAGTAAAACTGATCCTTACTTTGCCGGAAGGCTTTGGATGCATTAGGAAATTCAAGATCCTCTTCACCAGTTCACTGTTCACACCTGACCTCTCTAAGTCAAGAACCTCACAGATGCTCTTTAACATGGCATTTCTAAACCTGAAACATTAAGGGGAAAAACAAGGTGACTACATAAGAGTTTGTAAATATTCTTCATGATGTAAAGAGAAGAGCCAACAAAACTGGTTTGCTTTGCTTACATAGCAGTTACAAGTATGTCTTTGTGGCTTACTCTTTAAACAACCATCAGAAAATGAAGAATACTTACCAACAGTTTAAGTAAACGCACTAGAAAATTACATCAGTTTCCAATCCCACAAAACTCATGTACTTTAAATATGGTCTCGGCTCATGACCAACGATGCCTCATTAAGAACTAATCACTCCCTGCACACTGTCAGCGCAGATGCTGAGGCTCATGGGCAACCTTGGGCAGAGCGCAGGGGAGCTTAGGAAAGAGGGGGGAACAGTAAGATCTGGAGAGGACAGGAACTCCACAAGGAGAGCAACAGAGCCAAAAATCTGAGCACAGGGGTCTTTCCTGAGACTGATGTTCCAACCAAGGACCATGCATAGAGATAACCTAGAACCCCTGCACAGATGTTGCCCATGGCAGCTTAGTGTCCAAGTGGGTTACAAAGTAATGGGAACAGGGACTGTCTCTGACATGAACTGATTGGCCTTCTCTTGCAGCCTTACCAGGGCACAGAAGGTGACAATGCAGCCAATCCTGATGAGACCTGATAGACCAGGATCAGAAGGAAGAAAAATAAACCCTCCCCTATCAGTGGACTTGGGGAGGGGCATGCGTGGAGAAGGGGTAGCAAAGGAGGGACTGGGAGGGGAGGAGGAAGGGACCTAAAGGGGGGGGGATACAAAGTGAATAAAATGTAATCAAAAATAAAAATTAAAAGAACTAATCACTTTTACTATTTAAATTCTTTTTCTGTGGCATTTAACAAGTTCCAAAATCGGTCACATTGCAAAAAATTATGGAAAAATGACAATTTCTCATCAAAGAAATTATTTTCAAAGCAAGTTTAAACATTAAGAAACAGTAACTGCAGGGAACAGAACTGTATTTCACTACATTTCCTTCAGACTTTTAAACTAGGAAATGAAAACTTAAAGGTTTTTAATAATTATAACAATCTCTATTTACCAGAACCAAGTTGATGCTAAGAAAAACTTGTCAAATCCTGACACCTAAATAGTTAGAAATCTACTAAGAATGAGGAAGTATTATTCTTAATTATTAAAGATAGGCTAATTCCCTAAGCATACTAGCCAGAGTATTTATAAAAATAACTTACTTTTTCAGCATCTCTTCCTTCTTTTTATACTGGGCACTGCCTTTTTCAAATGGAAAGCCGCTGAACTGACCCACATTCTTCTTCAATGAAGACACCTGAAAATGGTTCTCAGGTGTTAATGCTACTATCCAGTAATGGATAAGACAAAAAATTCAGACAGCATCTTTTCTATCTATCTTCCAGGTTAAAATACTAATTTATTCAGCAAAACTGAAAAAAATTTGCTACTAAAACATTAACATTATAAAAGTCCTACAAATGCAATTCTTTGAAGAGTATGAATCCAAATGTATTTTCACCCAGGCAGTATGCACCATAATGGCTCCCAAGGGAGATGCAGAATGTTACCAGTCAATTACTACTTTTGGAAGAGTAAGTAATTATAAGTATTCTAAAAAGTTAATACCACTTACTAGTTATAAGGCATGTGTAAATTAGATTGTTGTGCAAAATGAGGTGAGTACATGTGAAAGTAAACTAGAGTATGCTTCAGACATCTTCAACCCAAAGCAAAGTTTCTTATTTTACACTTAGCTACACAGGCTGACAAGATGGCTGTTCTACTAGCGGGCCCAGGTTCCACTCCCAGCAACTATATAGTGGCTGGCTCATAGCCGCTGGTAACTAAAGCCCAGCATCCAAGCAAGAAACGGACAGGTAACATGCAGGCAAAACACCCACATAAGTGAAACAACCCCTTTCATTTAAAGTACATGTAGTGCCACTCTTATAGGGATATGGTTAAAATAACATACAATTACAAGGACTATTGTAAATGGACAGAACACTGAAAAATTAATTCTAATATAAATAAAAATCATTAAAATCACAACTGACTGTATTATATAATTTAGACTTTGAGTTTGGAGCAAATTTCATTTTTTTTGTTTTTGTTTTGTTTTGTTGGTAGCGCTGTTGGGAGACCCAGCTCAGGGCACTACAGATAAGCAATTCATCTCTGAATTATTCCCTCTAGTCCCAGTCAGAAGAAATACAGAAGAGCCCTAGATATCGTTTTAATAACCAGCTATGCGTGCTGCCATATGTCAACAAGTACAAGATCCCGTTAACAAGTATGTATCTCAAATTTACTCACTGGTATAGGACAGAAACTGAACCAGTTCATCAGTAACGTTCTTACAGAATTAAAATTATGGCTCTATAGTGAAGCTTCTTAATATATTAAGTATCAAAAAACACGGTAAAGATGTTTTTCAAATGTCTTACTGTGCCTGGTCTGTTGTAAAGCAGTTTGTGTAGATTTCTAAGTTCATCTGTTTTCTTCTTACTCAGAAAGAAATGTATCCTTTCAATTTCACAAAGTTTCTGACCCTTCCCTGAAAAACAAAATAAAATTAAATACCCAGACCTTAATAATATTTACAAAGTTACTTTACTGAAAATTACCCCCACAGCATAATTTGTGTAACTTTGTGCTAACAGGAAAAATTAAAACTATGCCCCAAGTATAACCCCTTTTCTTTCTAGTATGCTGCTACTACCAAGTATTTGCTGGTTTATCATTTTGCCTAATTGAGCATTTTCACCGTGAAAGAAATATAGAATAAACTTACCTTGTGCAATCGTAAATGGCTCTCTTTGCAAGGAGGACACTTGCATCGTCAGTCTTTCCACTTTCTTCTTCTCTCTCTTGCCTTCCACGATAAGACTCTTTTCTAGGAATTAATTTAATAATTCTTAAATATCAAAAAGGTAAAATGTGTCAATTTTATAAACAAGTGGGAAATATCTCCCAGACTCAACAGCTTACTTTCCTCCTAAGTATGTTTTGAGAAGCAAACAAAGCCTGGAAGCATGTAGTTTTTAAGAGCAAAATTTTACTCAGGTTTGTCAAGCACCTACTCTAAAATAACTGAAATTTTATTCCAATTACAATTATCAAAATTAGAATCTAGTCATTTGACTTGTGAAAAATCATCTAGTTTCTCACTTATTTCTTTTTGCTACACAAGAGAACGCATTAATTTTATATAACACAATAATCAAGATGATTAGTATTTCAAGCCCGCAGTGGTGGCACACGCCTTTGATCCCAGCACTTGGGAGGTAGAAGTAGGCAGATCTCTGAGTTTGAGGCCAGACTGGTCTACAGAGTTCCAGGATAGACAAGGCTAAAACAGAGAAACCCTGTCTCCAAACAAACAAACAAACGGTAATTAATATTTAAATCTCACTTTATTGTGTAAAAACAACAAAAAGATAATTAGTATTTCAATCTCATTATTTTATTGTGTGGGCCTCTATACCCTTCTAAATTTTCATACAAACGTAATTAATTATTTTAAACTAAGTAGGCATCCTACTGTGCTATGGACACTAGAGCATGTTTCTCCTATCTAACAGTATTTTGGCACCCGGAAATATTTAATATATAAACCTTAAAAACAGTAAGGTGTATTTATCAAAAACCACTTACTTATTGACTGAAATCTAATCAAATAAAAACTTTATTTTGTGTAGGTCCTCTCATTCATTCATTCATTCATTCATTCAAACAAATGATTTTACCTGATACTCAAAAGAACAGTATTAAGCATTTTTGAAAATTTTACTAGGAAAATATAAAGTATACTTACTGTAAAAGATAAATCTTTAAGAAAAATACAACTAAGGGATAATGGCATAGTTAAATAATAAAAAGTCTAAAATGTTCAAGTCCCTGAATTCAATACTCAACCTTGGAAAAAGGTAAGGACAAAGATGAAATTTGTGAGCCTGGCTGGCCAGATTGCTGGGCATGTAAAGGTGCTTGCTGCCAAGTCTGGTGATCCAACTCTCCAGGTCTAAGCCCCTGAATGAATATGGTGGAGGATAACTGACTCCCTCAAGTCCTTTCTGACCTCCACATGCACCACTTCAAGCCACACACAACAAATAAAAACTACAAAATGCTTTGTGATGGATTGAAGACATGGTTCAGTGTTAGGGGCATTTACTGCTCTTTCAGAGGACCAGTGTTTGGTACTCAGCACCACAGGGCAGCTCAAAACCATCTCTAACTCCACTTTCAGAGGGTCATCAGGCTCCTGGCCTCCAAGGGCATTAGGCTGTGCACCTGGTGTACATACATACATACATACATACATGCAAGCAGAACACTCATACACAGAAAACAAACATAAATCTTTAAAAAAAAAATGTAAATTGAAGGGGGACTATTTTGCATCCCAGGAGGAAAAGAATCAGAACATTAGTTGAAGCTTTTTAAGACAGTTCAGATTAGGGAATATAAGGGGTTACAAGGAATGAGTGAAAACAGCAGTACCTACAACAGTTCCTATTGTTACTGTTTCTTTGGATCAGATCTACAAACTAACTAGTTCACAGTCTAACCCTGGAGCAGAGCTTTCAAATTAATGCATACCCAACTGTAACCTTGACAGCTCCTCTATATCCTACAAGTAGCCAAACATCCAAAAGAGCTCACTGCCATCTCCAAGCTTGTTCACTTCTGTAACTGTTTTTCTACAGAACAGCATTACCCACACCCTACAGACAAAAATTTCACTGTCTGGAATGTTTCTGTCATTATGCTGAAGGTGAGTATTCTGGTCTAAGTAGAATAAAAATTTACAATTCCAGCTGTCCCAAACACTTCAGAAGAAAAAAAAAAATGAATTAAATCAATTATAATGAATTAAAATAAATTAAATTTCAGTTCTGAAATTGTAAAGAACTAAACCTACAAAATCAGTTTTTAAAAACCAATGTATTCAGCTAGAGCAGAACCCAGGATTCTATGAATCATTTCTACCCTCTCCAAACACTACTGTTTGGGCCTTTTATATACAACTTTGGTCCCCCTCTCCCCCAGGAGGACCAAAAAACCAAAACAACAACAACAACAACAACAAACAACTCAGAGGTAAAAGTGTAAGTCTTAGCTATACTGAGATACTTCAGCCAACTTTCAATTACTATATTTATAAATAACCTAGAAGTTAACAATTCTTATTAAGATTTATAATTAAAACCAGTGCAGTCCATAAATGACACATTCCCGTAAGGTCTTAGGGCACGTACCATTTGAAATAAAAACCTACACTGTATTCATTAAAAGAAATGAGTTTGAGAAGAGAACTTTGACCCTGAGACCTGCTCCCAAGCTTGGCTGAGCTGTGGCCAATTTGCGTCGTCAAGCTGATCCGTGAAGTTGCGCCTGGGATTTTCCAATAGCTGAGAATGTGTCAGGGAAACTGCTGCACCCGCAAAGGAACTGGGTGCACGCCGGATAACTGACACCCCTCTCTGCACATCTCTCCGCTGTCTTCACAGCTCAGCGTCTACTCAAATACGGTGGTTATTACCACCTTCCTTTGAGCAGAATTAGCTCCAAAACCGAGACAGCTGTGGGTTCATATTTTAACTTTCAGTTCAGTGCTTCTCGTTTTTGAACTTTCTCCAACAGCAGAAACTTTCTCGGGTGAAAGGCAAAGAAAAAAGCTCCCTGAAACAAGAACAAGAACCCTTACTGGGGAGGGGGGGGGAGGATCAGCAGGCACAAAGTTGAGGATATGAAAACACTTCCAGGATTAGCACAATAATACCTGTAGTATTAGGTTACACTGCAGACCTTTGGGTAACTTCAAAAGGCAAACGCTGCAGAATGAATTTAGCACAACTAAAATACTCGAGTAGCAAACCCGGCCCTGGGGTAAACAGAACTCAGACTCACAAACCTCCTGGCGGATGACGAAGTGTTCTCAAGGCAGAGGGAAAACTCTGCTACACTTGCAATCCAGACCCTGGTAAACACTCAAAAAAAAGAATCCATAGATTCCTGCCACTGATGGTCGGCGAAAACACACGAAACCATTCGCGTGAAATCGACCACTCCGACTTGCTGCCATTTAAGCGCCAAAAAAGCGGGGTAACTGCCTCCCAGGGGAGTGGGGGGGAAACTTCCGAGGGGAAAAATGCACCCGCGAGGCCGCCCCACCTTTTTCTTCCTCCTCGTCCTCTTCCTCGTCGTCGTCGTCCTCCTCCTCCTCGCTCTCGTCCCGGGGGCCCGGCATCTCGGGCTCCTTCTCGGACGCGGGCTGCGCGGGGGCGTCCTCTCCCTCCGCAGCGGGGGCCGCCGCCGCCGACATGCTGGGGGCCTGCGGGGCCGGGAGGAAGCCGCACGCTCCGGTCCCCGAGCCCGCGAGGACCGGAC